GTTAACCTGTTAATGACAAATCCCAGCTTACTTCTGAATCTCACACAGCCATTCGTGCTGTTGGTCAAATGGTTGGAAATGGGTGAATCACAAACCTTCCCCTTTTTTGGACCCCAGAAGACTCTAAAAATAATATTCAAAGCGCCGTCTCTCAAGCTGGACTCTATTATTCTGCAAGCCATTCCCAATTTTTGCTTATTAAAGCACCAGTGTCTGAAGGAATCAGCAGGAAGTGAACAGTGAGTTGCAGAGTGTGAATGTCAAGACAGAAGCAGGTAGCTGATTTCCTCCTACAAAAAAACATGGACAGAACAGGCACCCACTTCATGCCTCTCACCCAGCTCAGTCATGAGAAAGAACACGGCCCAAAGCCCAACACCTTTGCCAATAAGTGGGCAGGATGGAGGGTGGCTCAGCCAGCAGCAGTGGGAGTTGATCAAAATGTGTTGTGACAAGAGAACATAATGAATGGAACCTCAGACGGTCCTGGAAAGAGCAAAAGCCATCAAGATACACCTGATACATTTTCTTTTTTTACTGGTAATACAAACCAGGCAGGTCCTCAAAGCTCAGTGCTGGGGAAGTACTGTGTCCTAACAGGCAAGTGCATTATCCCAGCTTTATAACACAGAGAGCAGCTCAATCATGCCTTTCCCAGTGTGATCAAGGCAGATGAATTTCTGCATGTGACAGCACATGGAAGCCTCTCCATTGTGTCTGGCTGCCACTGGTTTCCAAAACTAATTTACAGCTGAGTTGACTGGGGCCCAAGAAAGGTGCTGTAACTAAAATCAATCACCTCCTTAAAGCATTAGAAACAGGCTGTTATTCCATCACTGGAGAGGGCCATAGCCCTGAGAGCCCCACCTGTGACCTTTACCCACACACACCATTGCTGCTTATAAGGTCAGGCTCTTGGTTCTGGGCTGACTCTCTTTGGTTGCTTTATGTTTTGCTGGTGGCTGTTGGGCCATTTGCTGGCCCTGCCCTTTCTCCTCACCTTTCTAACTGCTCCAGAAACCTGTTCTCAGGTTTAGCTTCAGATGGCCTATTATAGTTGGTGCCTCAGAGATCCTGGCTGCTCAGTGTTAATTGTTTCCAATCAAAAAAGTAATACTGTTGTCCTCAAGGCACTGTTTCTTCATGGAATCATTAAGGTCAAAAAAGACCTCCAAGATCCCCAAGCCCAATCCATTCCACCATGCCCACTGACCACGTCCCTCAGTGCCACATCTCCATGGTTCTGGAACGCCTTCTGGGATGGTGGCTCCCTGGGCAGCCTGTGCCAATGACCATGCTTTCTGAGAAGTTTTCCTAACATCCAACCTGAACCTCCCTTCGTCGTGGTCTTAAAGAGCTCTGCTAAAATATCACGCGATTGTGATGAGCAGCAGGATTTCATTTGATAACCGAGATGAAACCAAAATGTTTTGCAGTAAGAAGGTCTTGAGTAGGAAAGCTAAAAGCTCCTCTCAGCTGCTTGAATTGAATGCATTATGGTTTGAAAAAGGAGCCAAATGTAAGGCTACCTCCGGTCTGATTTTTGGGTGCTCCTGCGTGGAGTCAGGAGTTGGACTCAGTTATCCTTATGGGTCTCTTCCAACTGTGGAAATACTCTGATTCTATGATTCAACCAAAGCATGGACAGTACTAGAAAAAACTGTTTCAAAACTGTTCTGACCATGCAGTTCCAAGCAGGGCTGTTAACCAAGGAAGCTCAGGTGCTATGGGTTTTCACTTAAGTGGCTGCCAGCAGTTGGGAATAAGGTGTTGCTAATAAGAAATAATGGTCAAAGTAAGAAAAAGAGGCTGCAGATATGGGAGATGTGTGAGACCAACAGCTGTGTGCAGTGAATTATCCTTACTTGAAGGTGTGGATACCTGGCTGTCTGGGTGGGGTAGGATGTTCTTACAGGCCCCCTGGGAGCAAACCTGAGTCGTTGCTGAATGAGAGGTGGACAAGGAATCTTGAATTCCTAAGCAGGAGATTTATCTATTCTTCAACACATTCTTCTGTTGAATATATCCCTTCTATAATTATAGAAAGGCTTGATGCCTGAAATAAGGAAAATTTGGCACATACACCCAAAAATCTGCTTGGGAAGCAAATGTAGAGAGATGTAGATGTATGTGAGCTTCAGTCTCCTTAGTTTAAAACCCAATACAAGAGCTGAAGTGTTGGACGCAATTCTTCCCAGGCAGTGACGTTTCTAGGAAGTATCTGTGCAAAGTTCATTCATCAGTGGGTTTACAGCTCTTCTGTGAGGGGAATGATAAGAATTCAAAGAGAGATTTGCAGACCAAAGGGATCAGATTTCCACTGCTTGGGGCCAGAGAGGACTGGGGCTCAGTAAGAAAAGGTATCGTTCAAAAAGGTTACTGGTCACAAAGAACCTCACTGTTTTGCTGGTTCTCAGACTAAACTCTTATTTAGGCTTAAATGTACTGGAGGATTGCTCCACCTGAACCAGCATTTCCATCAGTCTAACCCATGATGGAAAATAAGCTCACACTGTGCTAAAAAAGTCATTTGTCTAGAGTGAAGCTGAGACTCAATTAGGGGAATACAAAGACTGCAATTTGAGTTAGAGCTTTTCTGGGTCTAGTTTTGGGGAATGCAACAGGAACACGAGAATTGCAATTTGAGTTAGA